TCTCTCTCTGTCAAATAAATAAATAAAATCTTAAAAAAAAAAAAAAGGAGCCAATGACAATGGCTTTCGTTCCTGTGATCTGAGAAACTGACCCACAAAGTCCTGGGGACCCTGCCTGCAGTCACACAAGAAGGAAGGTTTTAAGACCCTGAGCCTTTTTTGAAAAACTTGTTTACTATTTCAAAGACATCTTTTTTTTTCTGATAAAATACACTTCTAAAGTTTATGTTGAAAATTTGCTTTCTACACAGTTGCATGAACTGTATTGGCTGACAACAATGCATGGATTTTTGAGACTGCCAATACAATATTTTCTTCTTTTTTTTAAAATTTTTTCTTTTTTTTTAAGATTTTCTCCGTTTATTTGAGAGAGAGCATGCAAGAGTGGGGGGCGGCGGGGGGCGAGCAAAGGGAGAGAGAGAACCACACTCACTGCTGAGCAGGGAGCTTGATGCGGGGCCCGATCTCAGGACCCCAGGATCATGACCTGAGCTGAAGGCAGACGCTCAACCTACTGAGCCACCCAAGCTCCCCGCCAATACAGTATTTTCAGTATGGTGGCTAAATTGTTTAAAATTAGGGGCTTGGTTATATCAACAATGATACATACATACAATGAAATACTACGTGGTCATAAAAACCAGTGATGTAGATGTATACTGGGACAGAATGAATCGAGCTCCTGCCTGGAACGTGCTGGAGAAATGATACGGTGGTCTGTCCCCATTGTTAGGCACCCGGATTTTCTCCTGCCGAGCCTGTGGTTTCTGGATCTTTGTTTTCCTGGGCAGCTGGGATATGCGGGCTGAGGGGACTTTTAGAGCTGGGTGAGGAGGGGACCGAGGGACCAGGGCAGCTGCAGGATGGTACTGAGGAAGGTGGACAGAGAGGTGGAGATCAGCTGCCTGCTGCAGGGGGAGGAACAGCAGGGAAAGAGAGGTGAGCAAATGGGGCCTTCAGGAAGCTTTATGTTGAGTGGTGTGATGTACACCCCCTTCCACCGCCCCTGAGAAACTTTAGTTAAAACCTGCATCGTTCATCAGTATTTTAGGAGTAGGATTATTTGTTTTTAGATACAATGATGGGTACTGAGTGTTGTCCAAAAGTGGGTGCCCAGAGGAGCAAGTGTGGTCCAAGTTTTGTATGATTCAGTTATGATGCCTTTTTAATTTATGTGTGTATGATGTACATGATATATGTATGCATATATAAGCAATTAACCATCATTAATCATATATGTAAAATTATATATACAAAATATCTGGAGGGATGTACATGAAAATATAAACAATGGTTCCTACTCTAGATCAGGGGCTGTCAAACTACAGCCCCCTGGCCTAATTCAGCCTGCCACCTGCCTGTTTCATGAGTAAAGTTTTATCGGCACACACCAAGCACATTCATTTACATATTGTCTGTAATGGCAGGGTTGAGAAGTTGTAACAGAGACTTTCACAGCAGTTTGAACCTTGAGGCCATTTCAAATTTCAATTCTCTATCTTTTCAGGCATTATATTTTTCATTATTCCATGTATTACATTGTCTCAATTCTATTTTTGAAATACTTATCAGACATATATTGGAGGCTTTTAATGATCTTACATGTCTCTTAAATGTGCTTTCATATTTATCTGTTTTGTTCTCCCTTCACCTCTCTTCAATGTGTTAAATTAATTGATTCATCTTCCCAATCACCAATTTTCCAATTGTGTGAGCCTAGAGTTTATTTTGGTAAGTTTTTCATTTCAATCACCATATTTCTTTCTTTTTTTTTTTTTTTTAAGATTTTATTTATTTATTTGACAGAGAGAGAATGAGAGAG